TACTTTTTTTACTGCATCCTACAGATTTAGGCATTCCAGTGCATGTACCAACTGTGCTCCTGAACAGATGATACATAACAAGTGTAACTTTATTAATTTTGGTAGTAAAGTCTGAAGGTCACATTGTCCTTCTGTACATTTACACAGTAGAATGTTCGTAAAAAACAAAAAAAAGGAAATGGCGATCAAAGTTCCTAAACTCGGAAACCATTCATCACGACACCATCGCCATGTGTTTCCAGCACAGTTTCACAGAGGGATAAAAATCGAGGTGTGTCTCTACATCTTGATGCGATTAAAGCTACGACATGGATCTCCAGAGTAATCACGAAGGGAAAACCAAACAAAAGGTCTTGTTCTGCTTCACTCCTACTCACTTCGTGGTTAGGGGTCTCCCATGAGAAAAGCACCAGCTCTACTCCCTGCACTGTGCAGTTCACTGTCAGCGCTTCGCCTTGTTTCAGGATGGTCTTTGACACATTGATGTAGGCGTCCAGGGCCTCGGGGACTGGGACGGGAAGAGAGAGAGTGTGGGAGAGGGAGGAAGAGGTGTGACTGGACTGATCAAAACAAGATGTAGAGAAGGGTTTTTTTTTGGTCATCGATGATCAATGGATCAAAAAAAGAACATTTGTATAAAAAATGTGGTACAAATTGGACATGAATTTCAACAGTAATTTGCATGGGCCACATATGGTAACCAGCCGTCCACATATAGATGATCACCTTTGGAGAAACTTGAAACTTTCAAAACATTTCAAACAAATTTGCACCCACATGAATCCACAGTCGACTGCTGGCTGGGCTACAACAGTGACCTTCACATCCAGGAGAGTTAACTTGATCATCCTACCATCAGACTTCCTTGGAGTGTTTTTAACCAATGGGATTAGAGTTTCAAAGATTGAACATGATATGATCTGCTGAGCGTCTCTGGTACGGACGCCTGCAAACTGAACTTGATCTCTGGCTTCTGTTGCCACAGTGGGGTGTGGGTCTTGTTCGCCCACCCTGCACATCATGATATCCCCCACAAAGCTGTGTCTCTTATGACACTGCCGTCTGGTCCACCTCATATTTATTGAAGCCTGACCTAAAGTAGTACTGTGGTGCCTGATCTGGTAGTACACAAATGAAAATACTTGTAATCGTAATGATTTGGGTAAAATAGTATTGGGACAAGCCCAATTTTTCAGAGTTTAAATGTGTACTGATGATATAATATAACGGTTATGCACACATTATTACAAATTAGATCAAAACCTACCAGTAATCGCGAAGACGTAGAATTCCTGCGACTCTTTCACCTCTCCATTCAACTCTCCGCGGCACTGGTAGGTCCTGTCCTCCACAGCGGCCCTCACCCCCTCGGTGGGGTTATACTGCCCACTAATGGGCATGTCACTGCCACTCTCGTACAGCGTGACCTTGATTTTTGGGTTGGTGACCATACAGGGGATGATGCTCTCCTCACTGGTCCTCGTCACCATACCATGAGCACGCTTTGTGAACCACACTTTAGGGTCTGTGGAGCAAAACAGAAGCACTTTTGTTGATGATACTGTTGCTGATATTGTCCAAAAACTTAATTTACGATTCTGATATAAACTGCTAACGATATAGGCCTGGTAATATTTATTTATTTATCTGTACAAACCACTGTATGAGTATGAGATTAATTAAATGAGCTGCAAATGCTGCCATCTAGAGAGATTCACTATAATTGACAGCTGTTTGTCTCCGAAAAATTTTTTAAAATATTTTTATCCCTAACTAGAAGGATGTAGTTGTTGGAT